CGGCCGAAAGCGTTCTAAATATAGGGACCACACAAGGTAGAGAAGGGGAAAAAGCAAAGCAGGAAATGGATCACAATACGTCGGCGTGCACGCTCCCGTGCATTCCTCCACCACATCCCGGCACCAACAAGCCCAGTTTGCCCAGTAAACGCAACCAGAGGTGCGTGAAGGACTTTCCTCTACATTTTTTTTTCGGAGCGATAGCGACTGGGGGGGGGAGCTCCTCCCCGGTGGGTGGTGTGGGGGGGGGGGGGGGGGGGGGGGGGGGGTCAACCCATCCCATGTTCCACTTTGGATGACGTACGCGTTGTTTTGTCTCTGGGCGGCTAAAAATGTCCGCCTAAACAAAAGCCCTGACAGCACATCCTGATGGACAAAAGCTGGACAAAAGAGTCCGATTGTCCCACACGGTCTTGGCCAATAGAAATTAGCATCTCGATTCGAGCACGGTGTGGAAAAAACTGCTTCTCACCTTATTCTAGAGTCCAGTTTCACAAATTCTTTCACGTATCATATCAATATTGACACATTTTTAGTGTGTCCTCCAAAGGAAATGGCTTTTTCAAAAGGAAAAAGCAGTAATCTGTCTTTAATTCTCCACTCTAAACTGTGCTGCCGTGCAGAATTCAGTCAAATTAAACTGACCTTGATATGGCCAGAGCAGCCAAATTAACACAGAGGCATTTAGTAACAAATCAGCGGAGATAAAGCTAACAAGAATAACAATTACACCATGTGAATCTGCTCCAGTGTCCTTGAGAGAGGAACCTGCAATGCAAAACAAAAGTTTTATAAAAGGAAAACACACTATTTCCGCGCATCCAGAAATGCTTCCAAGTGGAATAAAGCTAAATAAGTGACGGAATAAGTATTTTGGATAGTAATAGGTGGGCCTTGCCTCCGGCAGTGGCCCCCCTAATAAATACATCAAATAATGAATAACAGCTTAAATCGTGTGTGTAGATATGGCTGAATGTATTTAGATACAGTATGTCTGTAGTCTCCTTTCCAAAATGGAGTCTGTGTACTTCATGTTTGGTTTAACGGGTTCTTCATCTTTTGACTTCACGTCAACGAAGATGTTCAAAACAATTTCAAATCATCTCACAATTGCAGAAGTAAAACAAAAACGAGTCATTTATGCATCTGGGTTCAAGTGTCAACAGACCTGAACCAACTCCATATAGTTTTTTCCTTTATGTATTCCTGTTTTCCCTGAAATGATCAGCATGATGCCATAATACTCAGGTCTGTAGGCCGTTTTATCCTTTTTCCCTCATTTACAATTTAGAAAAACGCCCAAAGCTTCATCGTGAAGTCAAAAAGAGGAGTTTAGATCACATAAAGCCTATCTGAGAACTATTTAAACCAGGTATTTAAGGTGAAATGATTAGTGATCATCACAATAAACAGCCATTTTTCCACCAACGCCCCATCATCCTCCTCCTCAGAGATGAAAGGGGAGATTCTATAAATAGATTTGGAGTTTACTGGAAACAAACGCTGGCCTGCAGTCGTGCTAATATCAGAGACCGAGTTTTTCACAGACGGTCAGAGGGGTCCAGGCCTGGTCAGTCTGACCACACAGAGGGAAAAAAGCCCCCGCAGAGAGCCGTGTTTTACGCAGAAACCGGTCCACTTTTCTGGACTGCTTCAATGTTAATGTAGAGCTTTTACGCACTCATGAAAGAAAAAGGAAAAAAGTTCTGGAGTGGATCCTCTGCTAACTCGTCCAGTAGGACCTAACCTCCCACTGGTGTGTAACTAAGGTAAGGACCTAACAAATTGTCTGCCGTGAAATGAAAAACAAATGACCAGGAGTCAAGTCTTAAATATCATAATCTGTGGTTTATTTTATTACCAAGGGGTTTAATGTACAATATGATATGAATTCATAGAAAAAGTTAATTGTTCATGTACAAATTACAAACACATAAGGTATTTTCTCTCCACTCTTCTCTTTAAATGTACACATTGTTCTTCTCTCCCGCCTCTGCCCCGTAGCAGCTTTAAACCTGGAAAGACTTTGCAGTGAAACAGATGGCAGAAGGAGGAAAACTCAGCTCAGTCCGGGCAGAAAAACAGAGAGCAGGAAACGCAGCGGGCTCCTTTCTCTGGGAGAAAACGTCTTCTATCCCAGTCAACAGGCGGGTGGATTCACGGGACTAAACATCCACAGTCGTTTTAACTGGGCGCATGTAAAAACTGAATTCCCCCCGGCAAGAGTCCGCGTGTTGGGTTTGTCGATTTGTCACTGAACGCTCCACGTAGAAAAAAAAACAAAGCGCTTAAAAAAAGGAACATTTTCTAGTGTTTCAGTCCCATTTGCAGTTGTTTAAGACCAGTCTTCATCCAGCAAACTGCTGTCAGTTTTACTCTGAATGTTTCTTACCCAGTGCAGAGGGAGTGGTGCTGACTATGTAAGCGTGTGTGTGTGTGTGTGTGTGTGTGTGTGTGTGTGTGAACACGAACAGCGACCTGGAAGCCTCAAGTTGTCCATCACGTCATCACCATTTCAGCGTCTGACCACAGCCGTCACATCTGGACGGTAACATACATCTGACTGCCTATTAGCTATCTGTTGTGGATTTTTTTTTTAGCATAGCCACCAGCACTCAAAGCGTCTGGTATCGTGGACAAAATTAGAATATTGTGATAAAGTTCTTTATTTTCTGTAATGCAAATAAAAAACATGAAATGTCATACATTCTGGATTCATTACAAATCAACTGAAATATCGCAAGCCTTTTATTTATAGCTTACAGCTGAAGAAACCCAAATATCCTATCTCAAAATATTAGAATATCGGATTTTTGAGTTTTCTTCAGCTGTACGCCATAATCAGC